CACCACCAAAATGTAATGGGATCCTCCTGGGGCTGAGACGCACCTCTGGTGAAAATTTCAGGTCAATCCGTCTGTAACTTTCTCCGTAAAGTTGCTAACAGACAAACAAACCAACGCTACCGAAAACATAACCTCCTTGGCGGAGGTAAAAAACCAACTACCACTTAAACCAACAATAACTAAACTAAGGTTAAGCAAACAAAAACTTATAAATAATAAAATTTGCGTTAGCATTGTACTAACCTATCTCACAGCTCACGGTGTGCCACCTTAAATAGAATAAGCTCTATTAGTAAATGATCGGTGGCAATGAGTAAAGCAAGCCGTAACTTCAAGTCAAACAGTTTATGTTGGTAAAGGATAGTTGGCTTATTTTCTGATGTATTACGTAACAACAGCCAGAGTAAATGATCAGCTCCTGACATAAACCCTTTTCCCCCCTCAGATCCCTGATAGCCGAGTCTGCCTCTCTCTGATAATGACACCAAATATTTCCACAGTGTGTTTCCAGGGCTGTGTGACATCTTTTAGCCCTGTTACTGAGCAGGAAACTGACACAGGCAGCGGGTGAGAGGGGACCCAAAACTGTCATCACGTTGCCACTTAAATTCACAACGATAATGGGTGATTTATCCACGCTCATTTTCCGGGCTAATTTACTAATTGGACTCAGTGGGGAAATTGGATCAGGGCATAAAAAGAGAAGGAGTATTACTGAAGGGTACGGGACGGTGTCAGAACAGGCGAGTGATAAATGACTGATTAATTACAGATTAAATGCGATTTAATTGATTTTAGCTGATGCTGAACTCGGGGTTGTGCCATTCATTGTGAGAGGTTGTCAAATCGCTTTACAAGATAAGGATTATTTTAGCAAATCTGATTAATTTCCGACTGTAAATATGATTAGAATAGTACAAGCAAGTCAACCATCACCAAGCAACTGCAACTTTTTCCTGCACAAATCTCAGCACATGCATTTTTCATGAATCTACTGTTGCACACTGTAGCTGGGCAGGAAGAAAATCTGCTGCAGGAGGAAGTGTCCCTCCGTATGCCCTGTCCTTATCGGTGGCAGGGAGGTAGTAGCAGGGAATGGTTGCCCGTCACGCCTCTTTGGGCGAGCAGGAGATGGCCATTATCGCCAGCACTCCATGGCTGTCTGCTGCCTCTATCTCCACTCCACAAGGTTTCTCTTTATGTGCCAAGGGACATTTCCCCCCAAAGTGTGTGCATGTGTAGCAGTTCTGTATAGGACCGCGCAGAGGGAGGCATCGCGGATCAAAGCCACGGTCGCTTTTCTAATTCACTCTTCAGTAGAGAGGTTTCCGATACAGAGATCAATACAGGCTGAGCGGGAGGGAATGAAAGCTTTGGCTGGTCAGAGGGCTGATAACACTCTCTACCATGACATCCAGGCCTGACTTACAGCTAAGAGTGGGTGATCTCACTCAGTTCAAGGCTTCACGTTTGAGTACATTTCAGAGAGGAACAAAACCTGTGGTGCACTGCATTCACTGGTAAAAATAAACACCAACAATGTTCAATATATAATCTTTGAAGGTGGGGTAGGCAGGATCTGAGGAAGTGTCAATTTTTGGGAGAAATCACGAACGTAAACTCGACCCCTCCAAACCAGTTTTCCCCTCAGCTCCTCCTCTCCCCTCCGTCTCTGCTCCAACAAGCCCCGCCCACAAACAGACGCTCCTGCTCGCTCGTATCGTTCCAATTAAATTCAGATTTAATGCAGATAAATACTTCAGATAATTACAAATGGGGCCCAGTCAACGTGAAAGTCAAAAGCATTGGTGCTACTGTAGATGCCAACAGACTACCAGCAAACACAATGTTTGCAGGACTTCTACAACGAGGATAAAGTGACAGCAGGTCCGTTTGACAAGAAACACTTCTGCTAGAGACACTTGACTTACTTTGTTAAAGCGGTTTAAAGGTTACAGGGTCATGAAGATCTAAAAGTGTTCCCCAATGTTTAGGCTTCATTGATGTTGACCCGGCGTCTTAGCTCTTGTCCGGTCTACCTCCTTTTTATTTCACCAGAGTCTTCGGTATTTACTTTGTTTTCTTGCTTCCACCACATGCAGATCTGCTACACTCTGCTCCGGAGTGGCAGGCAGATCAAAAACGCAAGCTTACAGCGCCCACCGGATCCGATCCGCTGCCACAAGCACTTGCGACATTACCCAAATTTCTCGCGAGACTGGACAAGATCTCAGGAGATCTAGCGTTTTCCCTGTGAGACACAGATCGGCGGCGTATATAAACACCCACATCCCACAACCCTGGCCCCTCCCTTTACCACATGAAGAACAGTTCAAAGTTTTGACTTTATTTTATTTTGAAAATTAACAGGATATTTTACTCTGTAGCCGCATACAACTTTCACTGCTGCTCGTGCTGCACTAGAGCGGAGCGCAGCGGTTCTGTATCCTGTGGAATTTAGCCGTAAGAGGGAATTAATGCTGTGTTCGAGTTACCTCAGAAGCCAGATGTCCGAGCTGGGAATGACGTCAAATCCAAGTTACCGACATTTCAGTTACCAAGTCGGAAAAAAGGAAAATCGGAGGTGGAAACAAGATGGCTTCATCTACTTCAGTTATTTATTCCTTGCTTATATTCGTACAAGGCAAGCACTAAAATAACTTTTGTAGATGTAGCCATCTTGTTTCCGCCTCCGATTGAGCGTTTTTCCGACTTGGTTACTGAAACGCTGACATCATTCCCAGCTCGGACATCTGACTTCCGAGGTAACTCCAACGCAGCATAAGACTAGATTTTCTGTAGACTAAGAATATCAAATTAGAGTAAAGGGATCATATAAGTACAAAGGCTTTATCCTCTGGGGACTAGGAATATCTGAGGGTGCATTAACGAAGTACAGAGAGTTCATCCAGAAGAAGATAAGTATCATGAAAGAGAGCCAATTCAATTTCATCCTCTGGAGACCAGAACTAATAAGATGATATCTGCAGATCAACAAAGTTCTTTGGGTTCACCAGCTGGACACAAAGAATGTAAAAAGAAGTCAGAGATTAGCAAGTATCAGACAAAAGATGTAAAGAAAGGTCAAAGGATCATCCAACAGTCACTGCGCCCGACCAGTTTCAGCCTCATCTGCTGCTCTGCATGTTTTGAATGAAGGTGTATTAATGCAGTCATCAGCCGTTGTGTCATCCCTACAGACCAATGAAGGTTTCATCCTCAGGCTACGAGATAATTACACTTGCAGAGTTGACACTAAACTCCTGAGCACTCATGTGAGAGTTGAGTAAATGTGTGGATGTGGGTGCTACAACCACTTTGTTCATCAAACGGCCACTTAGCTCGGGAACTTTTAAGTGGTCACTTGTTGGCGGCTCCGTGTTTGTTTAATTTTAGATTTGATTTAAGAGCGATCTGAAATTTTCATTTGGACGCAGCCCAGAGCCCAAAGTGGATCTTGTTGAAAACTTCAGACGGGCTACTTCCTGATTACATCATCTTTTTATTTTATTTCTTTGTTTTAATAAAGACCGTAAACACAAGGAGGACAAAGGAGGCTGAAACGCGGAGTCTGATCTTGTGCAAACAGAAGGAAATCCCAGACAGATCTTCTGTGCGGCACAATCCTGCATGTAAAAGCGATCCTACCTTATCTCGCCTGTGTGGCGCAGATGTATATAATCATTCATTTGAATTGATGCATAGCAAATCAAAGCTCCTTCACTAGAATAGCCGGCTCTGACATGAACACTCTACATAATCACGAGGCTGTGACTGCTTCGAGTGAGATATGAATGTATGGATTCAGATATTTAATTCCTGGGCTCCACTTGGATGTGTTCAAACATTGAAAAGCCACCAAAATGGCGCTGAATAGGGTGAAAATGAATCGGTATTTCTCATTATTCGCCTATTCAGGTAGTACTCCGAGACAAAGTCCAACAACCGTGAGAAAAAAGTGGGAAATCTTCACATTTGACTTTGTGTCACTCCGCCGCACACCCTCCAAAACAAGTCCCTGTGGTTTCCTAATGAGCCAAACTCATCTGTCAATTGGCGCTCCTGAACGGCACAACAGGGACTCGGTATACATACAAAGCGTCACTTTGCCCTCGTTTTCCCTTATGACTCACTTGAGCCTACAGTGTTTGCTTTCCTAATCAGCCGCTTCCGAAAGTGAGGCTGTATTAATACGGGGCTAATCTCAGCGCCGGGCGTGAAATGGGACACAGAGTCCTGAAGGAGGGACCCATCCCTGCACCTTCTCATTGTGTTGTTGTGTCTTTTTCCAGCCTGCGTTTTTTATTGTTTAGTTTCTGCATTAACTTTGCATAAATTCCCCATTTTCCTCACCTGAGCGGCAGCGTAATGCAGGTGTTGATATTCGAGGCAGAGATTGATGACGCTCGCCGTAAACTATTAAAAGAGTCAAATATGGCAGGGCGCGGGTTCCCTATGTGTGCGCGCGTAAAGATTAAGCAGTATGTGCCGATGAGGTGAGAGTACGAGGACTGTGTGCCCAATTCCCCCGGGCGCGCTTTCACGCCGAGCTGCTGTTTTCTGTCTCCTCGCTGTCGCCGAGGAAATAGAGCTGCTAGGGATGGGATAGGCGTAAAAAAATAAAGGCAATGACAGCAATCCTGTGCATGCCAGTCAATGTGTCAAAACACTGTCCCGTGGATCATGAGAAAGAGACGTGTGGTTACAGGGAAGACACGTGTGGGAATAGATAAGCTGACATGGAAACAAATGCAGTCGAGCGCCAGTTCAGACAGGATGCTAGCGCCAGTGTTTTGACAAAAGCCTGTGGGTCGGCACACACGGCGACAAATATGACCCGAACGCACTCGCGAAAAGGAACCCGGAGCTAATAGAGCTGTAATCTAGGATGCATCAACGCCAAAAACTACGTAGCTGTGTCGGTGCCCACTCTTGCGGGATGTTTGATGTTGACAGAAAGAGAAACAGAGCATGAACGCCTCGCTGTGTTTGGTGTGTGGATGAAAAGTGGGGGAGGAAGTGGGTGTCAGGGGACGGGAGGGAGGGAGGTACAAATGCGAAGGGGAAGGCAGCAATCAAGGCTCAATCTGCATATCCTCTGCCCCCAATTAGTGTAAGAGGAGTATAATAAGTGGTGGCTGACACCTCCCAGTGGAAAAAGGCACAAACAAAGAGGCGTGAAGAGGAAGAGAGGAAGATCTGTGATGATGATGAAGAGGGTATACAGAAGGGAAAGGAGGGGAATCAATTCACAGTTTCCTGCCTGGAGCCACGCCGTGTCATCACATCTGTATCAAAACTGTCAGCCGCTCTAGGACTACCTGGGCTCAGACGGAGGACGAGAAGAAAGGTGCGAGAGAGGAAGGGAGGAAACAGAGGGAGGGTGAAAGCAGGGGGAGAGAGGAAACGGGGATCAGGAGGTAAAAGACCTGAATACACGGAGACGGAGAAGAAAGGGGAACAAAACGCAGGCGGAGGGACGCTTTTGTGAGCGGCTCAGTGGGACTGGAGACTGAAATCTTCGTCAGCAGAGGGTTATTCTCCAGAGAGAGCTGGACTCAAACTACGGAGGGGGATTAGGGACATTTTTAGGACAGTAGAAGAAGTGGATCTTCTGTGCAGTAGTACACTGTATGATAATCACACCTCACATACTGATAAATAGTGAACAAAGCCACACTCTAAAACAAACACATATTTTTGTGGTGAATTTGCTAATTTAAAGCAGATTTTTGTTGTAATTGTTGCATCTCTTTTGTTGTTTTGTCTCTCCTGACAGCTTTGTCTTATTTTTTTGTTTTCGGTTTATTTTCTTTTGAAGTTGTTTTCGGTTTCGTTGTTATTTTGAGTCAAGTATTTTTTGAGGGTTATTACTGTCTCTTTGTAGTTGTTTTGTTTTTCACTGTTGTTGTTTTGTTCATCTTTGTAAAAGCTGTAAGTCTCTGTGATTGTTGTTGTTCCTTTGAAGTCATCTCTTTGTAGTTGTTTTGTTTCCCTTTGAGTTTTTAACACTTTTTAAGGGATTTGTTGTAATTTTGTATTTTTTGATGATGTCTGTTTTTGTAGTTGTCTATGAAGTTTTTTGTCGTTGTTGTTTTGTGTCACTGCGTTTTTTAAGTTGTCTCTTTGTAGCTGTTTTGTTTGTTTTTAAAGTTATGTGTCTCTTTGTGATTATCTTTAAAAGTTTTGTGTCAGATTATGGTATTTTCTTTGTAGTTTGTAGTATCTCTTAATTTTGGGGTGTCTTAGTGCTTATACAAAGTTGTTATTTTCTACTTTTCAGTTTGTTTGCGATTCACTTTGTAAGCTTTGTTGATATTTTGTATTTCCTTGCAGATGTGTTCTTTTTGTGTCTCTTTGTAGTTGTTTGTAATTGTTTGTGTCACCTTTTAGCACTGTTTGTCTGTCTTTGTGGTTGTTTTGTATTTTGTAGTTGTTTTGAATCCTGTTGCAGCGTGTTGATTTTCTTTGACTGTTTTTTTTTCTACCTCTTGAAAGCTCATCCTGTGTTTCTTTGTTGGTGTTTTACCTCCTCTGGTTGTGGTTTTGTTTTCCTTGGTGGTAGCTTTTTTGTTTCTCTTTATAGTTTTGATGGTCTTTGCGGCAGTTTTATGCCACCTTGTAGTTTAGGCATCTCTTGATGATAGCTGGTTTTGTGTTTCTTTGTCACAGTTTTGTGATTCTGTATAGATATAACTTTGCGCCTCTTTGTAGTTGTATTGTTTTTATCTGCTTTTTTGATTTGCATGTCTTTGTGTTGTGTTTTGGAGCTATTTGTGTTAATTTAAAATTCTTTTGTTGTTGTTCTGTTTGTCTTTGTAGTTATTTTGTATTTTAAGCAGTTTAATTGTGTCTCTTTGGAGCTTTTTTTCTTTTTCATAGTGTGTTTTTTAAGGTGTTTGTGTGTTTCCTTTTTATCTGTGTTTTTGTGATTGCTTTCTCGTTCTCTTTCCATTTGATGCTTGCCTTTTAATGGTTGTATTTCATGCCACTTTGTAGTTTTCCATCAGTTTGTTTTGTTGATCCAACTACAAACAATAGGGAATGTTTCACTTGAGTTTAAAAAGTTATCTCATTGTGACTCATTGTAACTTCATATTCCAGCGGGTACCGCGCCAACTTTTTAAATCAAAGAAACAAACTCAAGTCTTCTCTATTCCAGCGTAGATATATCACGCTTTAAAAATGGGTAGAGCTTCACAATAACTAACACTGAAGTAACTGGGGTCAAATTCTAGAATATCCAGATCTTGACAGAAGTCATGATTGGCTGCTGAGTGTCACAGAGGCAAGTCTTTCTCAATATTCAGAGCTGGTCTGAAGGAGAGACGAAGAACTTTTGAACTCATGCTCAAAGGTTTTTTAGTGGAGAATTACTTTAAGATCCTTCAAATAATATTTTTTTACTTTGTAGAAAGAGATCCAGTATGAATACGACGTTAGCTGATGAAGTTGGAAAAGTCTGGAGTATTCTTGTCCTGATGATGACATTTCTCGCTGTGCTTTTCCACGTCTACCGTGCGCGATCGCATCTTTGACACGTATGACTCCAAACATGGTGACAGACGTGGGCTTGTTTGCCTACAGTAAGTTTCCAGTGCTGTCACTCTGATCTGATAAAATCACACCCACACGATCCTAATAAAGCAGGTTTCTCCCAAGTTCTTCGGCTATGCTTCAAGCATACTTGACTGTGAATAATTAATGCTACAGAGAGAGAACCCACTAATTAACACCAAATTTTCCACAGCTTTAAAGTTCCAAATTCTTTAATTGCTCACCTGTGCAAAGAGACGATTTCTCAGAGATTATTCCAAGTAAGAAGTCTGACTTCGGGCTTGCCAAAATATCTCTGTCACTTTTTTTTCCCCTTGCTTCTATCACACATCTCCTCCCCCTGCTCGCACACAAGCCGCCACACTACTGAGATGTTATTTTTCATCTCGCTCGCTCTGTTGGAAACTCTCATGGGAACATCTATGACTTCTCTTTTCTCATTGAATTTGACAACTTCACAGCCAGATGTTGAAGACGTGATCATCTTTTAATTAACCCGGGGACTCACTGGAATTTTCTCACTCCTCCTCTTAAGAAGACATACAGTGCGGCTGAAATCCATCCCTGACTAAATACACTGAAATACAAAAGCTTTGTTCAGAGAGTGAACCTGTAATTAGCCAGGATTCATCTACAGTCCTTTTCCCATGCAATCCAACGCAGCACATCAAAACGGCTTTGCAACAGAAGATGGAAAGCAAGCTGCTTTGTGGTTTGGTGCTAAGGCAAACAGCCAGACTCAAACCCATAATGTCATGAGCATGTGGCATCCGCCTCATCCCGACAGTAGTATCAGCGGTGGCAGTTGCCGCAGGGGTTGAGAATCCTGGCTCTACTTTGAGCCCTCCAACCAGATTGTAAAACTGATGGTGGAGGAGAAATGAACCAGACACTCTCTCTCTTCTGCCTTCCTTCGCCGCACTTAACCTCCAAATGTTGTGTGGTCACGAATCCAAGACTACAAATGAGGAGAGAAATGAGAAATGGACCTAATTATAATTCTGTCATGTACTTGGTGAAAAAAAAGTAATGTGTCTAACTGAGACAAGGTTATGAGTTGATTTTAAAAAGACATATTGTGTGTGATACAATCTGCCCGGAGTTATTGGCATATCGTCTTGAAAACCAGACCTTTCATTTTATGGCAAAACAGGCTTCCTGATCCAAGTTCACTCATTTAAATTAGTGTCTGATATAAACAAGATGAGAGCCAAGAAGTTATGTAAATGAAAAGATGTAAATAGTGACGCTTTAGTGCAAAAAGTTATTCACTTGAGGCTCATGAATAGGTTCAAAAATTGGCGATTTTTTAAAGCCTGGCTTTCTTGGCATGGTAAATACTTGATTCTGATTGGTCGGAACCCTGTAACTATGGTAATCAATCATGAGTACTCCCATCTTATCAGATACAGTACGTGCATGAAAAGGAGTTACAGTACAATTCACACAAAATTGTGACTATTGGCTGCAGCAGAAACAACAAAGACGATACGAACTTCGTTGAATCTGCACTCGATTGCTCTTTCCTGTTCAATGCTAACAGTTAAACCTTATTAAAGTTATATCGCCACCTTGTGGAAATAAAAGGTACTGACTTTCACATACAGTGTTAGATCAGTTCCCAGTTTCACAAGTTCGATGACGATCCCCACCTAAACTCATCTGCATATATACTATGATAGCAATAGCGCCACCTTTTGGACACAAGGGGTATTAACTCCTGCAGATGATACCTTCGCCAAAGCCATCGACATATAGGTTGAAAGTAGTACTTCAATGTCCACACATGCATGCTCAAAGTACTGGACTAAGCTCATCCTCAAATAGAGATTGTATATGATGTATGCAGCTGTTACTGTTGCATAGTAATGGTGAGGATACAGCTTCACATGCTACAACCTACAGAGCCAGACATTAGCCTTAAATGAAGCCAAAATAAGGGTGGAAAACAACAACAGTTTGTCGTATTTCATTACAGATAAAATTAATATAAGAAAGTGTCATTTCTAATAATTATTTTACTAATGTAATGATGTTCTACACTTATACCTACCTACCTAAATACAGGTTTCCCCACAAGAGTTAGAAACATAGGTTGGGTCATGAATTATAGATTCATGAGTCCAAATCTGCGGCAGCTACATGTGTTTGTCATGCAGCAGGAAGACAGCAGATGTAACGGTGACAGTGATGATATCTCAGCCATTTCCCCCACCCATAGGGATAAATATCTGCAGCGGCAAGAACACCGACGGAGACGGCTGGCAGAATAAAAAAAGAGGGAAACTAAGGCAAGAGGAGGTAAAGGAATAATAATAGGCAAGGGTTGTGCATTGCATTTGTCTTCCTTACCAAAACAGTACCTGCACTGTGAGCGTTCAAGAACTGACATCCTGAGACAACACAAAGGGAACCTGATATTCATAGGCTGAAAGAATCGGTGCCTTATAAATTCCTGTTTTCCAGGTCTACTCTTTTGTCTGTATAATTTCTGTTACTCCACATACTGTCAAACTAGGAGTCTCGCAGAGGCCTTTTCATGCCTTGTTGTTCAGCTTTACAATCCTCAATGGCACCCTCCGACAGAAACCTTGGCTCACATACCCTCCTTCCGAGCAGGAAATGTGGCACGGTGCTAGCCATTAGCGTAGCCGGTGCTGAGCAAACGTAATTAAAGCAGCGGCGGGGCTGGCTAATGCTGAGCTTAACACAATCCACAGCTCCGGCCCCTCCATGCTAATGTGATGGAATGTTTGTCCGGTTGTCTCTTACTGGCTCGTTAAAGACACGAGAGTCCGAGAGAGCCAAGAGGAAGAGGGATGGAGGGGGTGGCTGAGAGGAAGAAAGCGGGAGAGTTTGCTGCTGAGATGGAGTACAGAGAGCACGTCTTGTAAAACGTCAATAAAGAAGTCGGATTTAAAGTGAATAGCCATCGTGTCGAGTTTTTACAGAACTGATGATGGAGAGTTCAGAAGCCAAAAAAGACGCTCTCAAACCTGATTTCATTGATGAGCACCCAAGGAATTTTACTCATCCCTTATGAGCATTTTTCTTTCTTTTTAGTCATACTTCATATCTGTTACTGTTGAGAAATGATTGTATTAAAGAGAATGACCCTCAGGTGAAAAGAGAAATATAATGCTTTTCGTTGCTGTGTCAGAAGTCTTAACAACCGTGTCAACTCACAACCTTGGTATCAGCGAGGAGAGCTAGAGGAAAGAAAATGCACTGAATTCTGTTTAATAGCGATAATGTGTAAAGGTACGGCTTTAAGGTCAGTGCAGCATTAGAGAAGAGACACTAGTGAAAAACACTTTCATGATTCGGTTGGTGGAAGTTGGTTTACTAAGATCAAGGATATCCGCAAAACTACAACACATACTGGGATAAAACTGGGTGGAGAGTTCAGCAATATAGTAAGAAAGAGGCTGGAGAAATCTGGTACCAAACTCTCTGGGCAAAAGTACCTTGTGTAAACTCTTTTGACCATGTATTTTCCTGATAATATTTCACTGGTACTCATGGTTTAGAAGTTGGAGGATAGCTCCAAAGCAGGCATCTCCAAACTATTCCACAAAGGGCCGGTGTGGCTGCAGGTTTTTCTTCCAGCCAAGCAGCAGCACACCAGACTTGGTTGGTTGGTTGGAAGAAAAACCTGCAGCCACACTGGCCCGTTGCGGAACAATTTGGAGATGCCTGCTTTAAAGCAACAACACACATTGAGATGAAAGTTTTGCAATCAAGCAAGGTAGAAGCTGGAGAAACCTGGTGCTGACAGTGCCAAAAGCTGGCAACTAAAGAATTGAGTCTGTATTTTTTTGATCATGCTTCTAAAACTTGATGGTTTAGAAGTTGGAGGATATCTCCAAAGCAACAACACACATTGGGATGAGATTTGGTATAAAGTTCAGCAATGGAGCAAGGAAGACGCAGGAGAAATCTGGTACTAGCAGCTCTTAAAACTGGCATATGAGGAGGGATCTGGCAACCGTACCTCAGAAGGTACTGTCCAAACTGTGCGGGGAATTTAACAACAGAGCAAGGCAGAAGCTGGAGTAATTTCCAACAATGTGGCTATTAACATTGAGTCTAGCAAATGGATCATAAGAGCAACATTGAAAGCACAGATGATCCCTATAGGGCATTCATGTTTTGAAAGATGCTCCCAGATCAAATACGACTACATTTATAAGTACTTCCACCCCTTAAGAAAGCTATTCGAAATAGTAGGCAAAATGCAAACATAAATCATTTAAGTAATTGGACTTCTACCTTGTTCTCTTGATATGACGACCACTGAGGGTCTTGCAGTCTTGACAATGGAGTGGAAGTATATATGCTCATGGCTGTAAATTGCCACTTGACTTGAGTACCGAATGCCTGACCTGCACTGAAACGTCTTATTGCACCATTTTAACCCTCTGGGTTGGCTCTGCGTGACATCAAGAACAGGTGAAAGACATATGGACATGGAGTGCGTCGAGTCAAGCATGTTCTGCTGGTTGCTAATGGATCGAATGGGGACTGCGGGATTGACCCTAGGAGCTAACATAAAAGTTTAATTAGCCAAATGCTCTCCGGTTATTCCCAAAGGAGGAAAAGAAAATTCAAGGACCATGGATATGAAGTCTCAACTGGAACTGATGGTGGACAAATTCACTCAGGTACAGTAGACGCTCTTTGCAACGTGGTGGAAACACTGAGTAATATAAGTTCTCTATTAGGAAGGTTATTTCATGTGTTTTTACCCAATACTGACCCTTGCTTTGACTCTCCTTTCAAAATCAAGTAACTGTATGTTACAGTCATCTTTTCTTGTAAAACTGAATATCTACTTTGGTTTTATCAAGGGCTAAAGTGCGCTTCTTTTGCCACTGCGTACCCACAGTACAGATCTGATTAATCACCCCTGTCGTGTTTGTTTCTGTTCCTCTTAAAACGCTCTGGTACTTCAAAACGCGGCTGTACATCCACCTTATCTGTCAATCTACCACTCGGATAAACGAGGGCATCCCCAAAAAAGAAGCTGCTGCACAGAAGAAGACATGAAGAAGTCGCTATCAAAGAAAACAAAAGTAAAATATCACTCTGAACTTTCTCTTGAAATCAGCACAATCAGTTTTCTCTCTTTTGTTCAATGTTCTCCGCTTTGTTATGCTTGTCTTTCTTTAGTTTCTGACTGTGAAAATTCCTTAACCTTCCATTTAAAGACATCGAGGCTTCAGCATTAGCAACAAAGCCTCAATAGAAGAATTACAGCCCCACAGCTCAAAGCTTCCTGACCTTATCTTGGAACTCAGAGTCAGTTTTGGATGAACTCTCATGAACTATAATCGGCATCACGCCACATTAGACACCTTCTTCTTGTAATCCTGACATCGAGTCATCCAAAATCCTTTTAGAAACTCGTGAAACGACAAGACCTGCCTTGTTCCCTGGTTTTACAGCTGTCTGGGTCTGTCTGATATCTCACAGCCATTTTAAAATTACCCATCATTTTAAAGTCTGGAGGAGGTGGAAGGAAAAAAAAACACACAGCTATGCTGCAGAAGTAAATAATATGTTTAAAATTCTGCAGGAAACCAGAACTTAGAGTGCAAGACTGTATCTGCCTGATTGGAGTGTCTGCTCATTGGTTGCAGGTACGTTTGCAGAATTTATAAAGACACTTTGCTGATTGATTTCACGGCTGTGCCCTAATTATCTCTGTTGATTCTAAAGAGCTTGAGTGAGTAACTCAGGAAGAGTTATCTTAATTATGCTGTAAGCATAAACTCCAAAGCCCTCTTGTTTACACTCTCTGGATTGTGCTTCATGGTAAAGTGATGCTTAGCTGGCTTGGTGCAGTGCCTCGGACTTTGGGACTCTTTCGTTCTCGATACCAGACAAACCAATGAATGGGGACTATTAATTTTAGTTACACCAACAGCATTTTCAAGCCTTATTATTGACGGTGGAAAAGCAGTATACTTATAACCTCATGCTAGCTTGGTCACCGCAGTTTGGTTTCATCTGACGCTAATGGAGGTTTTGTTTTGCCCTTGCAAGATATTACCTCAGAACGAAGTTGGACCTCTTTGAGCGATCAACCATCCTTGCGAGTGTATTGTAAGTTTAGATGGTAACTAGATCTATGTAATGTAATACCATGCACACACACAGCAGTGATAAAGAGATGATGGAAATTCAAAAAGGGGACATATTTGGTGTGGGCCAAATCATTCCGATAGGTCCCATAAAGGTTGTTAAAGTTGGGAGATTGGGATGTTGGTCATGCCTATTATTTGCCATGGTGACATTCATCCGCATGCACAGTTAAGGCTTGGATAGAAGCACTTGCAAGGATCAACCATCCTTGCGAGTGTATTGTAAGTTTAGATGGTAACTAGATCTATGTAATGTAATACCATGCACACACACAGCAGTGATTGAGGGTTGATGGAAAGTCCAAATGAGGACATGTTTCTTGTGAGCCAAATCAATCCGAAAGGTCCCAAAAATGTTGTTAAAGTTGGGAGATTGGGATGTTGGTCACGCTCATTAGTTGCTATGGCGACATGCGCTTACATGCACAGTTAAGTGTTGAAAAGAAGCCTATTCACCATTTATGAGTGACTTCATTTATCAAAATGACTTGAGTGGAAACACGTGTCGTCTTAGGACCCAAAGATTCAATAACAGCATCATTAATCTCAAAGATTACTGGTTTTTGGGTTTTAACCATACCTGATATCTGCATTTTACTTATTAGCAACTCAAAATGGAGCTATTGTGTAGCTTCAACCACATGTTTGGATTCACCACCCATAATGCAGGATAGAGATTCCAACTTTAACCTGCTTCTGCCATGCAGCCATCACCCAAAACTGTATGTTGGCACATGGTTATATAAGTAAAGGTCTATAATGGTTGGCTGGTCTGAGTTTCACCCCCTTTTAGCAGAGGTCTAATAGGTTGTTCTGTTTCTTTTCTGCACTGGATGATTGCCCAAGCCCATTTTACCTCCCTATACCTTTAAGTATTTCAACCTTTGCCCTCATCTTTCACGCAGCATCAGTCTTTGTGGACGCGCATTTCTGAGAAGAGCATCGTCTATTTATTTACTCCGGCTCAAACACGACCTTTTCTCTGTGTCCTATTCATACTCCCTCATTATCTCTCTGGCAACATGATAAAACCAAACACCCAGCTTCATGGAATATTTATGCAGAGTCAAGACTTCGGCCTTATTTAGCAATTCTCTGCAGGCTTCCTCTAGATGGTGTGAACTTTTTGGCTCTCTAAGCGAGGAGGGGGAAACAGTTACACAAAAAGGGATTTTTCTTTTTTTTTACTCCAAGATTGAATTGGTGATAGTGATTTGTAGGTTAAATTCAAACCCTCAAAGAATCTTTAAACGACCCAATTTTTGCTGAAGAGGAATTTCAAAGAGAGTAGTATTTCAGGTAACAACACACAGCAGCAGCAGCAGTGTGAGGAAAAAGGGCAAAAAGTCAGCCGGTAATCATGAGAGAAAGTTTGGATATCAGGAAACCAGCTCGACTGCCTTTTCAACTTTAAATCAATTTAGCCCCTCCGCTCTCCATGGATCTCTTTTTCTACTGTTATCAGTATTATTAGTTATAATCAGCGCCTCACTGTTGTGTAATCTTATTACTGTATCTGAATATCAGCTGGGTGGCAGAACAGGCCAGGCCATGCAGGACAGATGGCGCGCTTTGATGATGTGCCTTTGATGTGCATTAGCGTTGGCAACAGCCCGGCTCCCTCCAGCTCTCGGCAGCCCTCAGCCGTCACAGTTAGGATGTAAAAGGAGAGCGAAGAGGAAGGGAGAGGGAAATAAAAAAAATGGGGCATTACAAGCAATCGATGGTGTTTTTGATGGCGTGGGATTATGCTGTGATCCTTTCCTGACTGAAAGCGGTAGCTTTGTGGTGATGCAAGAGCTGCTGTCGAAGACTTGGAGTTATAGGGGGAGTTTTTCTCTAACTCGAGAGACTTGGGTTGAATCCGGGCACTAGCTTTGTGTAACTGAGTGGGTTGGTAACTTAGGCCCTTGACAACAGGGTAAGTAGGATTCATCCATGATTACGAAAAGGGAATACCAGTTTTAGATTTGTCAGGTCTTGGCCCATTTGGAATGTATTTAGCTGAATCATGCTTACATACAGTTTACTCTTTGCATTGTACACATACCTGCCACCATTTGGCAGTTTTGGGGTTACCTTATATGGTGGTTATGAGCTGATTATGAAAGTATTTGTAATTGGATTGCTCATCCAAATGAGTATAAGTTGGCAGGTATGATTGTACAGTCTACCCTGCAGTCATGGATGCAGTGAAAACTAGTGTTCACTATGTGTTTGATGAGATTTTTGAGCTCATGAAGTGATTCACACTATTCTGTTTCAACTGAGGGGGCATCTAGTAAACTTTGTCCCATTTGTACAAAGGTTCCTCCAGATTATTTGGATCTTTTCATGATATTATGTACTTAGATTGAGGGTTTAGTCATGAAATGCCAATCTGTGTCAGAGGAGGTGATGGTGCCACTCACAGCCACAGCTGACATTCATGTCTACCTGTTAGAATTTTGCTTGTTAACACTAAAGACTGTATCACACATGGACATGCTCCGTAATGGCAGCCACCTTCTTCTTTGGAGGCC